TCACAGTGATCTCAAACTCCTGGGTTCAAGTGATTCTCTTGCCTCAGCATCCCAAGTAGCTGGGACTACAGATGCCTGCAACTATCCCCAGCTATTTTTTAGAGATGGGGTCATGCTCTTGCTCAGGCTGGTCTCAAACCAGCAAGCTCAGGCAACCTACCCACCTTGGCCTCCCAGAGTGCTGGATTACAGGCGTGAGCCACTGCACCTGGCCTTTATTTCTCAATATATTATGCTGTTGTTCTTCCTAATTCCACCAAAAATCAGGTATCATTTTAGGGCCCACTACTAAATGATGATGTTTCTGCCTTAAGTTTGTTGATTACAGAGAAAAAACAGAAAAAATTCCTATATGACAAGTTTTTATTTATATCAAATTATAGAGTTCCATAAGTAAGTATAAGATTATGATTTAGATATTGAAATGTAACTTAAAATTTGGCACATTATTTAAATTATTCAAAGTTCATTACATGTTTGAGTGCACATTGAAGAGATTATTTGGCTTAATTTGGCAAGATAAATATTTCTGTACCCTATTCGACTATTTATATAATGTATCTATGTTGTATATTTATGTATGTATGTATGTATCTTATGTACACACACACTCCTCAATTAAATAGTTATGTTTGTATAAAAAGCTCAAGATTAATGTATTTAGATTAATTCATTTAAAAAATCTATCATATTAAATTACATCTGCATTCAAAGCAGAAATGTAAAAAAAACTAATCAATTTACTAAATACACCCGAATTTACAAAGTAATTGAAAATGAAATAAAAATTTCTATTGAAATGTTATATTCTTAATCAACATTTAAGTGGCACTATCAAACTATGGAAATAAATGTCATTTTTAGGTTTCTTGAGATAATAAAGATTCTGTGAACATTACCAAACCCTCTGTATTAAGACTGAATGTTATTATAGTAGGAAAAGATGATAGATAGTTTTCTTCTTTTTTAATATGGGAATTCTCCGGAAGCAATCAGTGGGCAGTGTCTGTACTCCTGGGCTTGGGTTCTCAGCTCTTCCATCAGTGGAAATCCGGTTTCTCAGGAAAGGTGCAGCCAGTCCGTCTAATTATGATACTTGCTGCATAGTGGCCAGCACGAATGCATTCAGGCAGAGGCTTGTCAGAGACCAGTTGAGACAGAAAACCTAGAACATGCAAAAAAGAAGCATATGAGCATTGTGTCATGGCATCAGAATGCCATATTTGATCAGACCAAAATGCGGTCTAAGCACCTACCTCTTTCTAATAGTCTTCTTTGTTTTTCTTCTTTTTTTTTTTTTTTTGAGACAATGTCTCACTTTGTTGCCCTTGGTAGAGTACCCTGGTGTCATAGCTCTCAGCAACCTCAAACTCTTGGGCTCAAGTGATTCTCTTGCCTCAGCCTTTTAAGTAACTGGGACTACAAGTGCCCACTACAACATTTGGCTATTTTTAGAGATAAGGTCTTGTTCTTGATCAGGCTGGTCTAGAACCTATGAGCTCAAGTTCTCCACCTACCTCGGCCTCCCAGAGTGCTGGGATTATAGGTGTGAGCCACTGCACTCAGCTTTCAACCTTAAACTCTTGGGCTTGAGCAACTGTCCAGCTTCAGCCTCCTGAGTAGTTGGGACTACAGGTGACCGCCACAATGCCCGGTTAGTTTTTCTATTTTTTATTTTTATTTTTTGAGACAGAGTCTCAAGCTGTCACCCTGGGTAGGGTGCTGTGACGTCATAGCTCACAGCAATCTCCAATTCTTGGCTCAAGTGATCTTCTTGCCTTGGTTCTTCTATTTTTAGTAGAATATCATTTTTGCTCAGGATATCATTTTTGCTTAGGCTGGCCTCGAACTCTGGAGCTCAAGTGATCCACTCACCTTGGCCCCCTAGAGCGCTAGGATTAGAGGCGTGAGGCACTGCCCCTGGCCTAGTTTTTCTATTTTTAGTAGAAACTCTTGCTCAGGCTGGTCTTGAATTCCTAAACTTAAGTTATCCACCTGCCTTGGCCTCCCAGGGTGCTAGGATTACAGGCATGAGTCACTGCTGGGTCCTTTCTTTTGTCTTGATAGAAAGTGGTCTCAGCTCAGGCATGAGGTCTTTCCAAAACTTCATGAACTTCCCCTGATATTTTTCTAACTAGCTCAATTTCGGACATGACACCTTACCATCAAGTCAGTCTAGTCTTTCTAAGCCTAACCTATCATACTTTCCTTTCACTCTGAGAAAGAAATACTGGCCAAATAATACAGGGTGCCCCAAAAGTCATCCCTCAAGTTGCCACAGGGAAAATGTGAAATTGTGACTAAATGTACCTTTATTTACAAAATATTCATTATAAAAATTTACAGAATATTTGCAAAATAGCCTCTGTGCTGGTCACAACATTCATATATGACAAAATCTGTAAAATTTTGCAATGAAATATTTTGTAAATAAAGGTACATTTGGCTGCACTTTCCCATTTTCCCTACGCGTGGTGACTTGAGGGGTGACGTTTACAGCACCCTGCATTCCTCTGGGTCTCTGCAGCTAAGAATTCATTAGTTGTCCCTCTTCCCTCTAGGTCCTTCCACGTTATTATTGCTATTTGGACAAAATTCTATTATCTAGATGTCTCTCCAAACACAACTTTGAGAGATAAAACGTTATGAAGGGCTTTACATCTCTCTTTCATTACCAGAAGTAACAGTGAAATAATTTCTGAGTCAAGCACAATGGACCAGGCTGACATTAAAGTAAATTATGAGAAGGTAAAAACACAGTGTTGAGGACTTCTGCTTCTGACCAAGATGAAATAAAAGGAACCAGACTACCTTTTTCTCAAGAAACACCAAAGACAAGAGAAGTGAAACAACGGTTTTCAAATATTGCACCTTAGCCATAAAGGATCAATGAAAGAGGGGAAACAAATGAGGTAAAACTTAACATGACTCTAGCTTACTGTGTAGAGAGGGTTACCAGGCCATAACATATGGAAGATCAACTGAGGCAGATCCTTAACGGTATCACTGAGTTGAGAAGATGGGGTTGGGAGTAGAAACAGGCTAAAATCAACAAATCTCTAGTCATACTGATAAAACAAAACAAAACAAAACAATGAGGGCGGTGCCTGTGGCTCAAAAGGGTAGGGCGCTGGCCCCATATGCCGGAGGTGGAGGGTTCAAACCCAGCCCTGGCCAAAAATGGGAACTAAAAAAAAAAAACAGTTAGAAAAGATACAAATTTATTGATATTAGGAATTACAGGGGTAGTATCACTATAGAATCTACACATATTCAAAAAAGAGTATTTAGGAAACGTTATCAATAACCTGGGCCAATAGATTTGGCAAGTTAGATGAACATGACAAATTCCTTGAGT